AAAAAAAAAAAAAAAAAAGGCGTATCATTTTTGACATACAGAGATTATTTATGCAAGTAACGAAATAAAAAAAAAAAGACAAAACGAACAAAAAAAAGGATATTCTTTATTGTATTGTTTACTAAAAATACAACTAATTTGTCGAACATACGATGTAAACATTGTTCATTAAAAATAACATTCTTGCATAAATATAAACATTTAAGGAAAGAAAAGGTTGAACATAGAAATGCAACCCGAAGAACTAATGATAAAAGAATGTAAAAATCGATGCATTTCAATGAGCTCTCTTTTGCCTTCATAAGTTCAAATTATAAAAAGGCAACACAATGCTGACGACTATGAGAAATAAAGGCCAAGAGAGCATTCAAATTCGATTACGTAGAGCTTCTTGTCCATCAAGACTGGTCCACAATTTGTCACAAGCCAAGACACCATCAATGAACTTGAGTAATTTTGTGTACTTTTTTGTGCTAGTATTTCATCATGTGATGAGATCCCATTAAATACACCGTCCATGTTAGATATAAACACACTCGACTCCTTAACTTTGTTAGGAACACGATCTGCATTCTCGAGAGCCATTGCACGTGTATTAATATTCGTGTAATGTGATTTGAAAAGTTTTATGTGTACTGTCATTTGACCGTAATCCTCTTCTTTTGAGTTCTAATGAGTCATTTTTTCTTAACTTCGAAGTATTCTCCTAAATAATTGGGAATTGTGATGTTGCAAACCAAACCACTGCCATAATAACATCCTCCAATTTTGAGCCATTTGGTCCATATAGAACCTTTGAGATAAAGGCACACTAACATTAGCCCTTCACTCATCACCTATAGAAATTATTTGACATCATTTGTTTTGTTAAAACTTAAAAAGTAACTTTATTTGTACTTGCGTGGAGAAAATATGCCCAATTCCATAAGGCCATATGTAATATATAGTTCTGATTCAGTTTGATCGACTCGAGGTAAGTCACAACAATCGAGTTTACATAAATATTCGTATTCTCAAAATGAAGTACCATTTGCTCTAAGTGATTTTTTTCAAAATCCGTAATCACTTATCCTAGAGTTGTTTAAAAGGGCAACTCGAGGTATTTTCTAGCTAGGCTTGCATTCTTAGATGACACCAAATTAGTGGTCTCTTATTTCATTCTTGGGAACGAGTCCGTAACAAACTCAAGACTCATTTTTTTATTCTTTCTAAGGTATGGAAGAGACTCAAAAGGAAGAATCCTATATTCCTATTAAACAAACTTGTAAAATAACAAAGTGTTCTTGAACCACATAGGACAGACAATTACAAGACCAGGATCCGACATTATAGTGGTAATAAAACCAAGAATTCTACCGTATAATTTCAAGAATTTAGAATATTATTTTGTTCAGAAATAAAGAAGTGTCTTTTCCTTTTCTTGATTTACGGGGTATTCATATTTTGTATGAAATTTGAAATCGGCTTTGTGAATCTTTTCGTCACTTGATCTAGTCTACTCATACGTATATTGAAAGATCTGAAAAAAAAATTTTACGGTTCATTATATCACTTATTTATGATATTATTCCTCCTCTCTTAAAAGAGAGAATCCCTGATTCACTATTCATTTATGTCACATGAATTTTCACATGTAACTTTATTATAATTGATTTTTCTATGAGTAATGCTATTCATCCCCATTGTAGATGAAAATACAGTCTACGAGCGTCAATATGACATTTAACCTATAATTTAAAATCACGTAAACTGTGTTTTCATTCTCACTGTAGATGAATAATATTAATCTTTTTATGTGGGTATCTAAAAGTGTCAAAATGCCTAGCAGTCACAATTAATGCTCAGTTCAACTCGACCGACATAGGCCACTTTAATGTAGTCGTGCCGATTTCATCCTCTATCCCTATACATGTCACATGTGTATCTTATTTCTTTTCTATTGTGCTATATTTTATTTTCATAGGGTTTGACTCTCTCTCTCTCTCACGCACACACACACACTTCCATATAATTTTGCCTATCCTTCATCCCTTCTTATTTACTTTGATCACAATTTTACACCAACCCTGTTCCTAACAATAGAAAAACACACTCCAAAAACACACAAAAAAAAATGAGATCATCAAATGTAGAATTCAGCAAAGGATCCTATGATCATCACAACCAGATTAATCAGAAAACAATTTTCTTGCCAATGCTATGCAAAGTTTCAATCAAAGACATAAAACTAAATCACTACAAAAATCAATCTTCATCAGCTGATCCTTCTTCCCCCAAAGTCAGTTGCATGGGCCAAGTCAAGAGAAACAACAGAGTCATTAGCTTTCCCACCACCTACAGACTCACTGCCGCTGCCACCAGCGCCGCCGCAGTCAACCACCACCACCACCACAACAAGTACACCAAGTTGAAAAAACTGTTCTCCAGCAAAGCCCTCATGCCAGCCACCACTAGCACCGCCACGATAGCCACCAGTAGAAGAAGTTGTAGAAGCAGCAGGGAAATGTGTGTAGTTGATTCAAGAAAATCCAAGATTAAGGATCAAGAAAGTGTTAAAGAAGTGAATATTGATGAACTGGATCCTCCCTTGCCGGTGGTGAAGAGGGTGCAGCAACCACAGGCTGCGGCGGCGGGTTTTGGTGGCCGTGATGAGGTGAATCTATGGAAGAGAAGATTTGGTGGGGCGACGATAAAAAGTTTGCAGATTGAACAGATTCAATTGCCTAACGACAATGTTCTCCCCCCAACAACTGTATAAATGATAATCTGGGATTTCGCTGTAAGGTACTTGAAATCTTTTGCAACGTATAAGAATTCAAATAGTAGATTTTCTTTAGCTCCTTATCCAATTTTGATAAATAGTTGAAATTTATGTCTGTTTCTGATCTCCAAGTGTTCATATAAAACCGTCAAGTAATGTTATTTAGCAGTAAAACATCAATTTAGCTGACGTTGATGTGAAATTAACTGAGAGATATTATTAAATGAATGATTTAATTTTACTTTTCATTGAACCTATCAATTAAATGAAATTGGCGTTCTAGTACTATTGTTTCAAGAGAGCATTATTTTATTTCTTCGCGTTCTTATGCATTAAAGTTTGTGCAAATTAAGTTAAATCGTTAGTGAGTAGAATCCTCTAAATAATTACGCATGTTTTGCTCTTTCATTCCATCTTCGTTGTTAGTGCCTTAAATTTGAAATTTGAACTACTTGTTAAATTATTGGAGAGAGATTGAGGATCGAAGAACAGAGTTTAAATTGGAAAAATTCACAATAATTAATATAAAAAAATTGTATTTAATTGGGCCCATGTGTTGCCACAACCTTTTTTTTTTCATATTTGTACTGAAAGGCCTTAATCTTTTCTTATTATTAATTTATGTCACCATATTTTTTTGTCAAATTCTTATCACCAATCATATATCAAGCACTTGCTCGGTAAGGATTAAAATCTTGATTTTTATGTCAACAATTAATTTTAACCATATATTTCATGAGATCCAAAACTTTTCAACTACACGTTTTATCAAACTTTTGATTACTTACGATAATTTCTATCCAAATATCACGTTGACATGTTTTGAAATGAGTATTTTTTGCTAATATAAAATATGAAAGCCAAATAAATCATTTTTATACCCTTTCGCCGTCATCATCAGAGAGATTAAATTAATGAAAGATTGGGATTAAGAACGCGGCGCTTATCTTTTCAAAATTAAAATCAACTACTTAAACTGAAATTTAGATGCACAAAATTTGACTTAGCATATGATGACTAGAGCAACTAATGTACATTTGGGTTCTTTCTAAAATCGCTTTGCCTACCATTTTGAAATTGCAGATGCAAAAATGAAAGCAATTTCATCATCAAGCAAAGGCTTCCGTTGAAAAAAGGCAACAAAGCATCCGTAAAGTGTAAGGCAGCAGTATCAATTCTAACCCACATTTAATAGAAACAAAATAATCATAACCAATAATCTGCAGCATTCAATGACTTGTTGGAAACAAGTTTTGTGCAAATACAAAACTTCTTAAGCTAAGATGACGAATAGAAGTAATGACCTTGAGCAAATCTCACTAAAGCATTTCATTCAATTGTTTCAAACGAAAATAGCAAACTTAGCGCAATCTCAGCAATTTGTATTTCTTGATATTTGCCATCAAAATCAGTCAATAATACAAATCTCCAACAATCAAGAATAGAAACAGCGCTATTTTCTTCCCCTGTTGAGCCTCTGAAGGTGATAGTTAATGCTTCCCCAAGCTGTTTTGTTTTTGCCAGTCTACAGAAAGATCAGAGAGGAACAGCATGTAAACAGCAAAGAAGATCGAATTGGAAATAATACATATGAATTCAAATAATGCAATTTCCACTTACCTGAGCATCCATGCAGGCATTTAATTGTGACTTTTGCCGGCCACACTTTTCATCACTGCCATGATTTAGAGCCAGACAATTAAGAAACGTAATCATATCCTTCATGCAAGGTTTTTGAAGATTCCCAAACTTCTTTGGGTTGATATATAAGGTACCGGCTTTCCGACCCATTATTCCCTGACCTAAAGCTGAACATACAAAAAGTAAGATCAAGTTAGAACATGAACACTACTCCACAAAATCAACAGGTAAATCAAGATTTACCTGTTCAACAGATAGCAGGGAAGTATCTAATATGTATAAGGAAGGCTCTTATTTATTCAGCCAGACCCAGTCATATCTAGTGACTAACTTCTACCACTAAATCTACTAAGAGGAAGACTCTATTCACGAGAGCCCCTTTATCTAAATCAAATTGCAGGCAACCAATAGAAGCTGATGTAACACCTTGTACCGATGAGTTCAGTATGCATATAAATATTGGGACTCCATCCTTGCACTTTAAAGAACACTCTAGGATCAAATTGACAATCATAAGCTTCTATTTGAAATGCAATATATCAAGAAATAAAGAATAGAGGAGTTAAGTTTCAAAATCCAACAGCACTAACGTTATCAGACAACTATTTACTGCCATGACATGTCAATTAGTCTCTATATGCATTGGAGAAAATCAAGTAAGAAGTTTGGAATCTTATTTTCAGGACAGACTATGTCCTGATAATCTGCAAATTCTTTTTGACAAAACGGGATATGAGCTTGACTGCAATGCATATTACAGAAAAATGAGAAAGATCCTTCTGAAATTGGTGAAATGTTACATGCTTCAAGCACTATTAATCGTTAAAAGCTGAATTGAGAGTGATACACTTGACTTGATAAAGTTCGACTATAAACAGTTACAATGAAGGAAAACAATTTAGCCAATTGAACACAAATTTGAAAGCAAGAAAAGAAAAACATGAAACAAATAGCAGAAAGAAGACAATAATGTTCATCAGTGAACACAATTAACAAGCATTGGGGTATTTATATTTTGGTTAAGAATTACAACCACCGCTAATCATCACATCTCAATATCCATCTAATAATTGCAAAATACAATTAGAAACAGAAAAACTGCCCTAATAGATCAAAATCATATCTAAAACCAGCAAAAGCGAAAAAAAAAATTAATTGAGTTTCACCTTCGCATGGGTGTAAGTAACCAGCAAACAGGTGGTGAATGATTAGCCAAAAATATCAAGAGCAACAAAAGAAAAGAAATACTATTTTTCAGAAAAGATAAAAGATATTTGGCAATAAAGATGACAGCAAGAAATCATAGCTGCATCTTTTTCCTGCAGAGAAATCTAACAGAAATCTATTTTATGATTGAATATAGTTTAACAGGAAAAAAAAATCTGTTTATCTTGGAAAGAGGTGAACAACGAAGAGATGAGAATGCCAGAAGAGATTTGCCCCTCTACAATTAGAGTTATAGACTATAGAGATTTTCTATAATGGATTGACTATGGGTTGGTGTAATCCAAATAGTCACCAATCAATTAGAATTCCACAAAAAGGATTTTTTAAAGTATGGGTTCTAGTTTGACATCAAAATTTTAGAACCAGATCCATGCGGTTGTTTAATTTATAAATGAAATTAATTTTAGCCCCTAACTGGTATAGATTAAAATCTCAAGTCAAAGACAACAATTAATTTTAACCATACGTTTATTGGGACCCACAAATTTTCACTGCATATTTCATCAACTTTTATCAAAATCTACTAAAAATCTGATTCTAATCTACACCAAACAAGGGCTTAGTTACAATCGGAGTGAACTGTCTGGTTGAAATTTGCAATTATTGCTGTCCATCTCTAGTCCTCACAGTAAAAAACTTGAAGTGATCAGACTGAGGGTACTGAAATCACCAATAGACCAATTTTTTTGCTAATTACGTATGGGTTTTCAACTCTTTACTAAAGCCACAGATGGTTTTCAGCATTTTGTCCAAAGATTATAAGTTAAAACAAACGTCAGCAAAAAAATCACTAATGCCAATATTCTTGTTCTGGGAAAATTCCACCTTTCAGGAAGGAATCATTCTTCCAATTTATGATGTTTGATCATCAAACAAGTCCATGCTAACATCTGAACCCAGTGTCAGTACTGCACAATTAAGGAAAAATATTCAATGAAGTACGCAGATCATGATAGTGTTCAGCACTCCTGGAATAAGCCAACCATGCTTTCACCCACTTAAAACATTTAAGACGTACAAATTGGTTGGACTTCAGTAGGTTGAAGAAATAGGCACACAACTTTGTCAACACTGGCTTTCTGCAAGATATCAAAACCTACACGGGTGGGCATACTAATGTCATTCATCCCGATGGTTAGGTAAATACATGAAATACTGATTTAATTTACACAGTTCTTCAATTGCAAATAGTAAAATAGATAAGAGAGTGTAAACTAGAAAGTAGAGGGGACACAAACAAGGAGGCTTATTGCTAAATCCAATCAAAGCTCATATGAGCTTTTTATGAACAAAATAAATAAGAGTCTCTTGTTCACATATTTTTTTTGTAGAGACAACAGTCCCAGCATACAAGAAAAGATCATAAGAACACGAAAGCATTGGTTCTTAGTGCATATTCTATTTAAAAACCGTGACCTCTATTGAAAAGTCTACATAATTAAACAAGGCTTATTTGTTTGCCTTTGCAATAGTTCAATATGCTCGCTTTCGGTAGAATGGAAACCGTTGTTGCAAAGTGGGAACTCATTCCCAGAGACAATTATACTGAGGACCAAGTGTCAATCAACCAAAAGAATGGCTATGGAGACCCTTTTCCGTCCTACTCAATTTATACAAATTTTGTCCTATACAACAAAACTATGAATTCTAGTAATCAAGCTATTCAGATTCCTGGAAAATTGGCTGGATTCCTTGTCTTGAGTGAAGCAGTAGAAGTAGTAAGTAACAAATCTTGGTTCAATTGATTAGCAGTGAACCTATCCAAAGGACAAGTAAGATGACAGCTGAATGCCAAAAATTAGTATAAGTAAACAAATGCTCGCGATTTTCACAGAATCCTAACCCACAACCTCTTATTCTTAGAGCCACCATCTTTACCACTAGAGCCAGAAGCCAGGCATATTGATCCAAACAATTATAATTAGTAGCCAATAAAGAAACAAAACAATATCAAAATCATTATGAATCTATGATCGAACTGGAGTAATTATCTAGTGACAATCAATACATCAATATTCAACTATTCAATTGAATGATAAACTTTTCAAAACTACCATTCGTCTCCCCATTTAAACCATTTTTCCATTACTTTTCCTCATAGAGAAAAAATTTCATACATAACTTAAAAA